ATGAGAAGCCGGCGCTGCGCCCCGCTCCCGCTCCCGCTCCTGCTCCTGCTGCTGCTCCTGCTGCCGCTGTGGCTCTCACCCTCGGCCGGGGACGCCGCGGTGATCACCGGGGTAAGAGCCCGGGCGCACCTGTCGGCGCCCGCGCGCACCAGCATTCGCCCGCGGGGCTCGGGACGGGGGTGCACGCAGGGGAATGGGGAGGGCCGCCAGGGGCAGGGGACACCTGTCTGAGCCCCCCTTTGGTTCACTTGGGAAAGTGCTGTCTGCAAAAACTGCTAGCGGCCGGAGACACTGGAGAAAAGATAACGAGTGTCAACCACCGCCTTCCACTTCTCCCCAGAACCCCACGACCTCGCGCCTCGGTGCGGGCTGTTTGGCTAGGTGAAGGAAGTTTCGTTCACAGTCTTTTCAGGTATTTTTCAAGGCGCTCCACCCACGAACCTTTCAAAATTGACTACCCCTCCCTGAAATGCAAGCAAGCAAGACGAATATCCCAAGTCCCTCGGGTCTTAATCCTAGATTCACGGAGTTTGCGCCCCCCACCCCTTACGTCCCCAGCAGAAACCCTTTGAAATAGCTTCGGCCAAGGCCATATGTGCGCTCTGAAAAGCAATTGTGAGCACTTCCCACCGGGTTCCGGAGTTTTTCTTGCTTTCCTTCAGACTCTCGAAGTCCTTCCTGTAAAAGTTTTCCATTTCTGGTCCCCGATAAAACACCTCCAGGGCATAATGACGGAGGAGGCCGCCAAGTAGACCCTCTTTAAATTTAAGACGTCTTCGTCGTTTTTTGGATGTAGCTCCTACTTCAGTTCCCTCCCACAGCCAAGAGTTTTCTTTGTGTGTATCTGAAGAATGAGTTTACAGTACAAAATGAAAGTCTAGCCTAGTTGACATCAATTATGCAAAATCTCCACGACTTGCCCGTTGTTTAACTGTTTTACTCTTTAAGTGTTAAAGTATTTCACTTCATTAAATTCATTTGTTTTATTAAATTACTTCAACTATCAGAATATATATTATCAGGCTTAAATAAAATGGATATATGTATTTAAAACGAGACATAGATAAGCAATAGCATATGATTAAAAGGGAATTCACTGTCATGAGAAAATAAAGCTCTGTTGCCTCTGTATTAGTAGGCTGATAACATTTTGAAGCCCGTGTGCTGTGACAGTGTTTGATTACATCCAATAGGTATTTAGTTATGAACTTGTGGTACTTATTAGATTTTTTTTAATTATTTGTATAACTTTGTCAATAGTCCATGTGGTTGGACAAAAGTTTCTGCAGGTCTTTCTAAAACATGAGAATTGTAACATGGTTGAGTTTGTTTCCCTCTTCCCCTGCTGGCTCATTTTAAATGTCTCCTAATCCTCTGAGCCCAAGGTTCCTTTTGCAATATAAGTATCTTTTTGTTCCATTCACAGGAAAACGCTATTTGAATAGGTCTGCCATGGGTTAAGGATGAAGGGCATTAGGAAACAACTGTCTAATTAAAATTATATAAACTTCAGCAATTCTTTGTAAATTCTCCCAGAACTGAAGCTCTTTGTTGCAAAGTGAAATTTTAGCACATTGTATGTCTATTGAAGAGGTTTGCACCAGGTTTATGATGTAGTTGTGTGTGCTGCTGTTGTTGTAACTCAGTGTTGCAAAAAAGAATTATTTTAAAAGCTTTCTGTAAAGCCACATGGCAATAAAATGTAGTTATGTCTCCTTGACAGGAACCATCTGGATTCAAATGAAAATTTCAATGACTTATCTGGATATATATAGGATGTTAAATATCCAAGTGATTGATTGAATTTTAAAGGATTTTGGCTGGATTTTTGATGGTCTTATAAAAAGAGCTGGTGGATATTAGGCATCTGCCAAAGTAAAATATTGGCTGAAACTTCCAGCTTAAGTATTTACTTTTTTTAGTAATACATAGGTATTTTGAAATTGATTTATATGTCCATACAACTTTGTTAAAATTATATTGGAAGAGATTGTTAACTGGACATCCCATCTATGGAATGTGATGGATATATATATATATATATATATATATATATATATATATATGTTTTCTAGCATGCAGATAAAAACAGGAAAATGGAAATGGTTGGTTGTTCTTCTATATAATCAAACCACACAAAGCAAAATGGTCGTTTTAGCCACATATTTATTTTAAATAGATGGGGGAAAAAAATCTAATGGTGGATGTAAAAAGCTCCAACACAGTACTACTAAGAATAATCCCATATTGTTATGTTTTGAGACACTATGGCTATCCCCAAGACTGAGTTCTTTGGAAGACTGAACTGTTGTAGTTGTTTCCTGCAAATGTACATTTAAATGTGCGCCTAAATTATAGGCCTTTTAGCATCTCATATATATAGTACAGGGGCTTTTACTTTATCCCTAGCAAAACAATTATTGCACATGATAGTGTCCCACTTTTTGTTAGTTCTAGGAAAGAAAAATAGTTCTTCAGATCCATTTTTATGCAAATAAATTTAAGCTCCATTATTTCTCTTCAGTAGACTGGAAATTCCTCCGTAGTTGATTCTCTGATTACAGGTATTTACCGATTTTATATTGGGAGCAGGTAGTTTGAGTAATTACTGTTAATATGTGCAGTTGTTACTTAAATTTATCAATCTGTGAATGTTATGGGATAGCTAGGCTGATTTTGTAATATAACATATGTACAACGTAAGCCAGTAATTTCCATTTTACAACTTATTCACCTGAAACAAGAATAGCATAAGAGTCAAGTCTTGATCTGTCCATTCTCAACCAATGAAATTTCTTTTTTTTAAAGAAGAAATGGTGAAAATCAAGTTAGCGGTGTGAGAAACATCAAATCTCATGAACCAAAATGCAAATATTTGAAAGGGAAAATGAGCACTTCTAAAATTTACATCAGTGCCTTTATGGGTCGAGAGTGTTTTATGCCAGATTGAGAGACCATTTAAATCTCTTTTTAACATTAGGCCCAATGTATTCTGCAGTTAATAGTCATAAAATCTTGTGATTCGATTTATGTAGTTCCTAATGGCCATATATAGTGTAAGACTAATATAGACTGGTTCTTCAAACTCTAAGCCAATTCAGCCATAAAGCACTAGGAAAAGCTGATTTCTGTTTTTAAAAATCTTGTGTTTATGATTTTCATAATGTAGGACCTATTATGTAGTCCATTTTTTAAAAACTGGAAAAATCTATTCTGGTCAGATTTTAGTAGAGCTATGTACAAGTAGATGAAACATATAGTTCCTTTTGTATATATACATGATTATTAAAATCATAGCATGGGGTATTGAAAGAGCATTTTCACTGCTAATTTTAGATTTCCCCAGCCTGTATCTTTCCCACTGTCTATATTTATGTTTATTTATTGCATTTCAGGCCTGCGACAAGGACCTCCAGTGTGGCAGAGGCATGTGCTGTGCTGTTAGTATCTGGGTTAAAAGCATAAGGATTTGCACACCTCTGGGTAAAGTGGGAGACAGCTGCCATCCACAGACTCGGAAAGTTAGTATATATATATATTTGTATTCATGGTAATTCTTTTATGCTGCTGTACCTTAACTCCAAGCAGGGCCTGTATGACTTGAAACCTGGGGTAGTGTCCCTGAATTTTAAAGTCAGGGGAGACAACAGTGGATGTTCCTGTGTGATTAGAAACATTTTGTCAAAATAACTTCTAATGGATGAATAGGAGTAGAAATTATTTAGGAAAAAATATGTATATATATCACATTTCTAATGTGTTTCTTTGCAGAAATCAAAGTATAGAAGTTTCTGAAAAGACTTCATTTGTGTTAGACCTGCTGACAAAACAGAAATAAAACTTGTGCTTTGTTTTCTGAAAAAATCACCAATAATTCCATTACTCTTACATCTTAACCTCAAATTTCTATATTTTGTCTCTGTGCTAGTTGGCTACATGGTTCATGACTGGAGAGATTAATGAGATTTAATTTTCCAGTTTACTTGATTATATAGAGGCCAAATCTCATAGTGACCTAAGTAACATTTTGGGAAAGTTACTGACACTGATGGCATGACCATAGGACTTCAGGGTTGGTTTGGACAGGGCTTTAGAGGTTGTGTCCCCAGGGTGCACACAGGCTCACCTGTGGGGCTGGCAGGTTTGCGTTCATCAGGAGGGGAGTGGAGGGAGGCAGAAGGGAACAGTGAAGTGTATGGAGCTGCTGGAAGGTGAGTTCTTGCCCCACAGATTGAAAACTTGTGGATTACAGTACAGCATCAGCACATCCCTTAGGGGTGCCAGGTTGCAGTGCCTGTCTCTGACTCTCACCTCCTCGGTGTACTTGTCTTTGAACTGTGGTCCAGGGAAATTGAGATGAAGACCAGGCCAGGCAGCTAGCTGGAGGCAGAACTCGATCTCTCTTTGGTGTTCTGTCTGCATACTGTATACTCTGGTTGTATATTATCAAATCCAACAGAATTCCGCCTTCTACTTTATCTTATCCGCATGTGATTTAGCATTTACTGTTGTAATAGAACTAGACATCTTTCTTCTAATCCACAGTCCCAGGTATCACTTAATATTTTGCCCTTCTTGGAAGAAACATGATTAAGCAAACTGTGAGCTGTGGGCAGAGGTGAAGCTCTGTGGGCAGGAATACGGATTCCAGTTGACCCAGCCCATCTGAAGACTAAATTAGCTGTTGGCTTTTCTGTGGTTGCCTTGTGAAATGCTTCCTGTTACATTCAAACTATTCTTCCTGCGGTTTTACCATGCAAGACTGTACAGCCATGTTAAAACATGATATGCGCCTTTTATTCTTGGGCATTTGAAGACAGGCAAGGTTCTAAAGCATGAGTTGTCACTCTCCATGCCAAACTCCCCACAAGTAGATACAGCTGCCCAGCTGCCTTTGGCACTGCTGTCAGCTCTCTGGATGCAAGTCCCCTTTGGCGTTTGAAAAGCCACTCTTCCCCTTCTCCTTCAGGAATTGTGTCATTTTATACAGCGCTAGTGTAACTTCGCATGCTCTAGATGCTGAAGTCTAGTATTATTTGCTTGAACAGCAAATAAAGAGCGACACAACTGTGGATCTCTTTTCCTGTTAATACCTCCCACTTCTTAAGTGCTACGCTGGGCCAAATGCTCTGTTCTAACTGTTGTGTGTGCTGACTGAATACTCACCACAAGCCTGTGGATTAGGCATATAGATTTTGTCGCTTACTATATACGGCTGCATTACACCTCTAAGGGGGCTGGGAACAAGTTGAGGTCCCACAGGAATGTGCTAACCTTCCCTTCTTTCTGACACGCCATTGTCCATGTGGTCCTGTCCCTGTGCTCCTCTGTCTCTGTGGAGGGAAGTATCTGGTTACTTTGAACATTTTTAAATTAGTCTAATTAGCCAAAACTGGTGTGTATGGATAATGGGCTAGACATTCATTGGGATTAGTGCTAACAGTCTGCAGTGGGGATCTGTCTGTGCCCTCTGATGGTCTGGATGAGTTTTCCAAATCTGAGATGTTTGAAAGAGAATGGAATATTTCCCTGGTTCCTCAACAGCTTCAAATTCAGCTTTAGTGCAGTGTCACTTCTAAAAGTAAACAAAGTCAGTCGTCTCTCCCTAAGCCTACACCTATCTCTACAGGTTTTTTTTTAATTTAAATAAGGGTCCAGTAATAAAATATTTAAAACAGATAATGGTTTTCATAGTAAGAATAAGTATCAAAATAACAGATGCTCTAAAAGATAAGGTTTTTCACATTTTAAGTTGCTTCCATTTAGATATCTACTTGAAATGTATTTCTAGAACTCAATTTCATCAGTTTTTCTACTTTTTTTTTTTTTTCTTTTCACTTTTGGAAGTACATTTTCAAAGGTCGTTCTGGTGACCTGTTTTAAAAGTAAGTCCTACAGTTGTTACTTGTTACAGATGAAATTAATATTTTCTTTTTTTAAAAATCTGGTTTCTTCTAGATTATCTCGTATGTATGGTCTCCTCAAAATAAATCAACAAAAAAGTTTTTCATAAATATATCCTGGTAAACATCATGGTACAGCATTTAATTCTACTCAAATTTAATTGTTTTTTCTTTTTCTTTTTTTTTTTTTTTTTCCAGTACCGGGAATCAAATTCACAACCTTGTGCTTGCCAGGCAGGCCCTGTGCCGCTGAGCTAAATTCCCAGCCCCATGTTTAATTGTTTCTTAATAGATGGATAAAATGGAGACACTCTAGAAAATTGTTTGTTTCATTTTGGATTTTTTTTGGTTTTTGAAATAAGGCATCACCATGTAGTTCAGACTATCCTTGAACTCACTAAGTAGCCCAGGTCGGTCTCTAATTCATGGTGATCCTCCTGCTTCAGCCTCCCATGTGCTGGGATTACAGGTGTGTGCCACCATGCCTGACCCTTCATTTTGGTTTGGTTCAGTTGTTAGCCTTCAAAATCTATTTGAGTAAAATAAACAGTGTCTGCTGAGTGAAACTGAAAGCTATAGGTGGGGACTGATAGCCAATAAGGTCATTTTACCCTTTTATTACAGGTGCATCAATTGATTTGTAGGGTTTATAGTTGCTACCATTTTATAATTGTATAGTTTTAACTTTATATTTGATAATGCAAAGTAGAATAAAGTCTGTGTCTACAAAGAAATATTTTTTCCTTCTAAAAAGAACATATTTTCCAAACACATTTTAAACAAATAATAGTTTTATGGTATTCATTTTTAGCAATTTCTTAACAGTTAATGAATAACTTTCTGAGTCATGTCTACAGGAAATGCTTTCTGTTTATAAAACAGATATTCTAATTTCTATTAATAATTGTAATTTTTAAAGAGATTTTTGGTTTTCATAACAAAACTAAGTGATAAAAAAAGTATTAAAAGACAAGGTGATATGTCAAATTTTCTACACTGCTCTAATTGATATTATTAATATTTTAATTTTTATTGCCTGTTATTTTATCTTCTCTTTTGAAATTCAAACAGCTGTGTTTCTCTAAATCTTGTTTTTAATTTGCTCTATGTTTCTGAGTGTGGGATTGAACACAGGCCTTGCTCATGTTAGGCAAGTGGTACGCCACTGCACTACACCCTGACTCGATATAAACATTTTTAGCATCAATTTTCTTTTTTTAACTTTACATTAAAACTTACATCTTTTTCTTTTCTGAAGGGGCTGAAAAGGCCTTGAAGGGGATCTTTATCTTCCTTTAGAAAGGAGACAAAGAGGAGGGGAGCAGCTGGGAAACAGGGCCCAGGGCAGGGGAGCTCGGTCTGTGTGCATTTGTTGCGGGGGCAGGCAGCAGAGGAGGCTGAGACAGGAATCTCTGCCTCCCCCGCGCCACCCCCCGAGACAGGAACACAAGATCGTGTCCTTCCTCTGGGCCGGTGGATGCTACCCCAGGACCTACAAGACTGACCCTTGATAGGCTTACTGGGCTCTGTTTGGTAAAGGCTTTAAAAATAAGACAGGCTCCATAAAAAAGGGAAAAACAAACAAAAAAGAACCCCAAACCCCCCAAAAATAACACCCAAACATTTCAAAAGAACTTTGTGTTTATTTTTCTGCTTTTATTTCCTCTGAAGTGACAGGGCTGGCTTTAACAATGAACTCGCAGTGACATTTTGCCCCCAGATTACCAACACTTTTTCTTTCTTTTCTTTTTTTAGATAGGGTTCTCAAAAAGAAAAAAAAAAATAGAAGATTTTCAGAAATTATTAGGGATTTCCATTTTAAAGTGAGCCTGTTACAAAACACTATAAATATAATTTCAGATATAAATTTTTAAAAACTTTTGATAACTTCATAAGTACAAACTATAATCAGTATAACTAAAAGATTTCATGAATGATGGGTAGAGGAAAGCACAATACACTCATGTCCTCATTTCTTCCTGTCACAGATGTCAGGAGCCACCGCCTACATGGATCTCTTAGGGTAGCATCCTAGCTCGGGTTACAGGTTCCAATCAGAGAGATTCACTAAACATCAATATGCTTTAGTCTACACAGGTGTTCCCAACGTTGGTTTTACATACCCTTTACCCAATTTCCCTAAACAATAGCATCCTGCCAAGCTATGATCCAATATCACAAACATGATGTTGGCACTGACATTATCAAGATGCAGAACAGTTCCATCACAGGAGCCCTCACTCTCCCCAGAAGACACTTTTGATTTTTTTCTTCCACACCTGCCCCAAATGCCTTACTGCCAGCCTCTCCACCTTAGGTACCCCACAGCTACTCCAGGAGATGTTTGCTTTGGCTGCAGTGGGCTTTGAACATGGATCTATCCCAGATGACTCTGCCCTGCAGCCTTTCCGGATGATTCCATCCCTCTGCAGCCTTCTATGAGGGCAGAGCGTGGAGGGGGGGCCTCCCCTACCCATAACCAGTTAGAAAGTCTGACACTAATTGCATGTATGAGCCCACCTTTTATCCTATGTAAGCAGACTCCCCACACTCTTAGTGGGTTCAGCCTGTGTGCTGTTGCTCTGTTGGTGCCACATGTCGTAACATTGCCGCTCTGATGGCATTTTGCCTGCTCAGGATTTCTGTCTCAAGTAGAGCATGCTAAAGTGGTACACTAAGAGCTATTGACACCAAAGGGCTACCGGTACTAACCAGCCTGAGCTGGTAACACTGTAAATAGCTAGCAGCAGAGACTGGTAAAGAGCTGTAGAGAACTTCTAGGTGCCATCATCTCTATTGGCCTGAAGAGTTCCCAAGGCCTGCTGACAGCTGCTGGCTCTGACCAGCAAGGAAGGCCTCCAGCCCTAAGAGCTGATGGCTCCCCTTCAGAGCTTAGGGCAGTTAACACTAGAACAGCTACACTTCACCAATTTGTGATTTCTGTACCAATTGACCAAGAACCCTCAGCTACTTGGTAACATTTTGGGAGCTCCGTATGGGGACTTTCCCTTTAGAGGGCCTAAAGAAGAGGGTGGGTAGCAATGATGATGATCATGAATAGCTCAAGAGCTTGCCCATTTGTGATTTACATCTTACACATAACAAAACTCAAACTGGCTGGCGACAAAATGGGTAAGGATCTACTGAGTACACAGTGCCAAAAAACAAGCTCTGTCATTAGGAGCTCTCAGATACAAGTGGAGGAGGGAAATTGCCCCAGCCTAGCAAGGCTAAGAAAGGTGGTGAGGATGGAGGAATATGTACAGACTGGATCCTGAAAAAAGAACCTGGGTTTGAGTGAGTTTTCTTTTGAAAGGGCATCATCCATTGTAAAAAGACCCGCAGTGAAGTCTGATCCTTGCAGGAAGGTCAGTGGAGGCAGCTCCAGACTGATGCTTGTACAGTCTCGGTGCCCTTAGACACAGAATTCAAAGATATTTTACAAAGTTCCACAGGAACACACAGCTTTGTGAACACATTCAAGGGCCCCTGCTGGGCTCAAAAGGGGTCTGTGCAAATGAAGGGCTGCAGCCTCCCTGACTTTGCAGTGACTCCATCTGTGGATTTGGTTGCTGAATCACACTGAGCCTGCTTGGTACTGCGTGTGTGCGGACAGGGGACTGGAAGCGAGCATTGGTTTGTGTTCAGGGAAGAATTTATATTCTATGCACGAAGCATGGGGTAGAGGCGACAATCATTTCACAAATACGTTCTTGAGAGTCCTTCATGTGCCAGCCTAAGTGCCGAATGCTCATAAATGAAACAGCCACAGCCCTCTCTTCAGAGCTCCTAGAGTCAGGGCTCAGTGGTAATTCAGAAGAGAGGACGGCCTGGGACAATATAGGACTCAGAAACTGCAAGCACTTTGAGTTTCTAGCTGGTAGGCCTCAGGCGTGTTACTTCACTCCAGAGTCAGCTGCTTCTCTAGTCTTGTGGGGTGCGGGGGAGCAGGGGATAAACCCGGCTTGCAGTTTTGGGGTGATGTCTATTCTCAATGCCTGGTGAGACCTGATGCAGGACATTTGAGGAGTGGTGGTGATTTTCCCTTTCTACTGCCTGCAGGGTGCTCACCACCCAGAGATGGTCACAGTGCTCTGATGCATGCAGGTCTGTGAACACCACAAGGGTATTGAGGAGCAGCTGCCTGTCTTCCTAGTTCTGTCTTTCATCATTAACATGGCAGCCCCATGCTGGTCAGGGGCTTTTCCTCTTTGCCTCATCACTGTACCTCACCACCTACTATAAGAACCAATATGTACACAGCACTGGGTACTGTCTATTGAGTGAGCGAAAGAAATGAACATATCGATGGGTTCCATTTCTAATAGTTTGCCATGCTCATCACCTTTCACTTACTTGGGGCTCATTTTTCTTGGGTACCATTGCTTCTTGTCAGTTTTCTTAACTCCAGCACCATTGACATTTTGGGCTAGATCATTTTTTCTTCTCGGGGACATTTAGGATGTTTAGTAACATTTCTAGCCGCTAGTCACTTGACTTGAATAATACCCTACTTGTGACAAACCCGTGTCTCTGGATCTTGCCAAGTGTTCCCTGTGGGCAAAATTGTCCCTGATTAAGAAGCAGTTGTGCATGCAAAAGTTTTAAACTTGGTGAAAGGGAAATTCTCAAGGCCTCAGAGTCAGAAGAGATTGTAAAGGTCAATTGTGACTACCAGTTCTCACGATATCCCCTCGTAATTGTCCAAGCCAATCTAGAAGCAGCCACTTCTTCTGCTGTATTCTTGGTAGCAGCAAATGAGCCAGCCCTTAGCATACTCTTGGACTCACACAGTGACAGAACCATTCTGAGCATCAGTCTCCACTGACCAGATGGGCACCGTGACTGTATGTAGACACTGTGGTTAGACCCTTGGCAGTTACGATGTGTCAGAAAGGCAAAGACACTAGGGTAGCACAGGTATTCCTTGCTATGCCCATTGACCACACCACACCCTGCCTTCCTGTTGCTTCCCTTTGTGTTTATTGATCTCAATCATCTCCCTGACCCTTCCAGAACCATTTTGGAAATGGAAGGCAGGAACGAAGAAAGAGGAAGAGAAGAAAAAGGAAAAAGGAGGTAAGAAGACTGCAAGCGTGGTACCACTAAAAGATACACTCAGATTATTGGCCTTTATCTTATTGGACTACCATAGAGTTGGGTCCATCCTATCAGCTTCACACAATAGTAAGGTTAGAATGGTTCTGCCACTGTCTGAAAATGGCCTTTTTATATAAAATCTCTTTTGAAGGCATCTGGAAGATGATCTCATTTTCTCTTAAGCACAGATCCTTGGTGTGGGGCAGCCTCTTTTGGTGGACTAGAACAGGAAATACATTAGACTGATATCACATATAGTATTGGCATTTGGTCAAAGGAGCAATACATTTCTTTGCCGTGTTAAGTGATGGAAGGGTCCCAGACACATGGGTCTCCAGTAGCTCACCCCCTTCACGTTGCCCTGAATCGGAGCTATTTGCCATCTTGCGTCACTGGTTGTCACTGTCTCCAGGCCTGGTGTTGCACTTTGTCCACACGGCTTGCAAGACTGGCAGATACTCGAAAAGGCCCTAGTTCTAGGGAAAGGAAAATGATTTCCGCTCACTTTACTCTTAAAGCGTGCATAGTTTTGAGTGTACTCCACTTGCCACTGACACAAGGAACTACTGTGAGGTCACTGGTGGACCCTCTTCATCCATCCTCACTGGTGACATAGGCTGAGATCTTAGGGGACTTTTGGAGTGAAATAAGCCTATTCCTGATGGGTCACGGCCTGTGGAGTTCCACTTCTGTGAATTGAACTTACATCCCTCCATAGTGTTCCTTTAAAAAAAAATTTACCCAGCCAGGTGTGGTGGCACATGCCTATAATTCCAGGACTTGGAGGCTGAGGCAGGAGGATGGCATCAAGTTTGAGGCCAGCCTGGGCTACATAGTGAGTTCAAAGCTAGCCTGAACTGCATATTGAGACTCTGTCACAAAAAAAAAAAAAAATTTAACCTCAGCATTTTGACACCCAGTATCTGTATGCAAATGTGTGAACTTATATATTATTTATTTATTGTGAATTTCTGTTTGCTTATTGTATGGATGTGGATATGCCAGCAGTCCTGGGCTCTTCCTAAGAAGCTTCAGTAGCAGGAAGCTATAAAAAAAAATGAAAGGAGAAAAAGTAAAAGGCAGAAAGTGTGTTCTCCCCAGTCCACTGCCTGCCAAGCTTCCAGTTCTAGATATTGTGATCTTGGACAGCTTGTGCCTCAGTCTGTCACCTATAAAGCAAGGACAATGAAACTATTTGCCATCTCTACAAGATGACCTATGAAAAGTTCTGAGCACCGTGTCTAAGAAGCAAACACTCAGTACGCATGAGTTGTTCGCAAAATGATACCTATGCAATGGTTTGGTTTGGTTCTTAAGCTTTGCCTGGTCTGACTCTGTTTTCTTTTTCCTTTAGGTTCCGTATTTTGGGCGGAGAATGCATCACACATGTCCTTGTATGCCAGGCCTGGCCTGCTTACGGACTTCATTTAAGCAGTTTATTTGTTTAGCCCGAAAGTAATCACTTCTGAGTAGAAACTTTAAATGTGAACAGCCACATGATGTCTGTAAAGTCTGAACTTGTGATTGTGCCAGATAAAAACACGCCAGAAAGAAAGACTCCTGCTTCCCTCCACTTTCCAAGTGACGTTTTTATCTTTGATTTTTAAATGACTTTTTTTTTCTATTGAAAGGGAATTTTAATTTTGGATAGAAATGTAAAGTGCAAAGCATTATGGAACTGGTTCTCATTTCCTTGTTTATATTTTGGTTTGGTTTGGCTTTTTTTAATGCCAATAGCTCACCCACTTCTGCAAAAATGAGGAGAATAAGAATTGACATTTTGTTACGGAGACATTTTTTCTTCCTACCCCTCCTGTCCCTGCCCCACAGAGAGACACACATACCTTGTGTCTCTTGTCTCTTAGTCCTCCATGAATTGTGAAGCGCTCACCTTTTTTCTCTTATTTTTCCCTCCCTGCCTTTTAGCATTTTAGAGAGGAAGGACTGGATCCTGTAGTCTGCTGGGAGAATCCCTGGTTCAAACTGACCTATTCGCCTGGTACTTGTGACAAGAGGATGTAGTTGAACTGAATGTTCCTAACTCCTGTTATGCACAGCAGGTTGGGAGAGCTTCTAGAATTTTCCTTCACTTGTCTAGCCCAGGGGACTTCAGTTCTGCTCTTGAGGACAGAAGGGATGAAAATCCAAATTATCTTAGTCCAGATTTCCAGATTTGGGGTTTTGTTTAAACAAAAGACATTTTTTCCAGTGAAATTTTTTTTTCTTTTCTTTTCTTTCTCATAAGGTTTGTTTTAAATTCTCCTGTTAGAGATATTCTAAAAAATGTCACTTGTGGAGGAAATATTGAGTTTAATCTGGCATAACACTAGTCATCATTTTTAAATCGATATTAAGTTATAATTTAAACTTTATTTGTAACCTAAAGGTCTATCATAATGGATTGCCTGATATCTTGCCATTTGTAGCTGTATCATTATTGCTATGTAAAAATTCTGTATCAGAATAATGACAGTACTGTATATCATTTGATTTATTTTAATATTATATTCTTATTTTTGTCATGGTTGTCATCAGTTTTTATTACAAGCAGATTTCTATATAGGCCACATCCCAAAATGGGTGGAGACTCTCAAGTCAGTAAAATAGGCCTAACACTATGTGCATTTCTATGTTACATCCAGAAAAGTTGTGTTTGCCTGAATTTTAAGGTAATCCAAAAGAAATAAACAATGTGTACATCAATGCAGCTTGGACCATGAAAGAAAATTATGACATGTAGAAGTGACTGTAGTCAGGAATGGGCTCATGGCCTTTTGCTGTATTGAAAAAGCAGACAGTGACGGAGTGTGTCTTGCATGAGAAGGCAGGGTGCTAGGTGCTAATCATATGGCAATGTCAATACAGAGACTGGCCTTGAAAACCCACCAAGTATTGTAAACTGGTTTAACGTCACAAATAAACAACATATGAAATGAGTTTAACTGACTAAACTTGGGCCGTGCTAACCCACCCAGTGTTCCTCCCACTGAAAAAATGTCCATTTATAGATATTTACCCAGCCAGGGTTTACAATTGCCCGTTGTGTGGGCTTTTACCCCTTGGGCTAACATGTCCCATAAACGTATGGGATCTTGCTGCACTAATTACCATAGTTTGTCAGAGAAGTAGTATTTTTTATTTAGTTTAGTTTGTGTCCAAGAAACATTCTTCCCTATGTTTGCTGAAAAGGCTTGACTTCCACAAGTGGAATTATGGGTAAAGGAACAAGCACTCTAGCAATTCCACTAAATTTGTTTTCACATAGGACATCCTTTTCATAAGTGGTGAGAACTTATTTGGGTCAATCATCTGTTTCCACCAAAGTTAAAAACATAACCAACTCATACACAATTTTGCTTTTACATATACCAATTCATTTTTTAAAAATTTGTATCTAAATGGGTAGACTGTGTGTAAAGCCAAGAGAATGAGCATGCAGTCTATGTGGAAAATTAAGAAGTGTGCTGGCTCGCTTGGTGCCCCCGAATGAGAGCAGAGTTTTATCATTTGCTACCTTCCCCCGGTTACTGTTTTTATTATTTTTAGTGTACCATTCTATTTGGAGATTAGTTTTTAATTTGCTATCATAAATGACACCTTTCAAGTAATTGTTTAAAAATCCTGTAAAGCTCTTGGAGGTTTTTTAAAGATCATGTTATGCAAACTATACAAAGACTATAAGGGCTGTGGTGCTGCGTCTTCCAGTTCCTAGGATGTTCCTGCATTAGTATTGGGAATTCATAGATCATTTTCTACAAGGTAAGGCAAGTAGGATTTTCCACAGGAAAAACAAAGTTCATGGTATATTTTGATTAAAACATAGTGAATGAATTCTACCCACTGTAAGATAGAAGTAGACCTTGTGCCAGATACTAATGATCACTCAAGTAGAACGCTGGATTTCTTTGCCAACACTGACTTTTGTTTTGTTTTGTTTTGTTTTTTGTCTTTTCTTCTGGTACCAGGAATCGAACTCATGACCTTGTGCTTGCCAGGCAGGCTCTTTGCCACCAAGCTAAATCCCCAGCTCCCGCCAACACTGATTTTCATGTATACTGTCACTTCTAGCTTTTATCATTTTATTAAAAACATTTTTTTACATTAGGAAAGTTTATGCCTAAACTGTTTCCTCACAAACCCTTCAGTCTCACTGAAAGCCTTCACCCGTCCAGCATTTCAATGGGGCTCTTTTGGTAGAGCCTTACAAAGTCAGTCCAGTGATAGATCGGAGATCTAAACCAGTTTTCCTCTTTACTTGCTCTGATATCAGAAATCCTATCCCATTCTTTTCCAGCTTTGTTTTATGAGTGATTAAGTTGGGGGCTATTTTAGTTTTAAAGCAGGATGGTTTTGATATCTAGTGAAGATCACTGTAAGATTCACAGGCAATCTGTCATGATTTCTTTTCATGTTGCCATGTATTTCAGATAATATCCTCAGAATTTGACTCACTCTCTGATTCTCTCCCTAATTTGTTCATTCTTATTACTTCCTTTTGCCTTAAAGAATATCGTATTGCTTCCAGTATTTTTAAACATTTTATTTGGCAAGTAAAAATTGTATGTATTTATGGTACACAATATGATGTTTTTAAATGTGTATGTATACATTGTGGAATGGCTAAGTGGAGCTAATTAGCATATGCATTACTTCACCTACTTTGTTTTGTTGTGAGAACACTTAACATCTGTTCTCAGTGATTTTCAAGTATATAATATTAACTATTGTCACCATGTTGTAAAACAGATCTACAGATCTCTCAGCATTTTTAATATATCCTAGAGATGACAGCCTTTAACAGTATGAACTTTACGTGAACTTTATTACCTTCCACTAAAATATATGTCAGATTTTTCAAAGTGAGAAATGCCATTAACATGCTGTTCTCATTTGTATTTTTCCATCATCCACCGGCTCAGAGATCCCAGTTCAACTTGACTGGGTCTTGGTGTTGAGGTTGTTTTTAAAGCTTCTTCATTAATTCTAAGGTACACTAAACAAAAATAAAAGATTTCATTTTTATGGAAAGGCACCTGCTAACTGTGACACTATTTCATGAGATACCTTTCTAGTTAAATTAGAAGTGAAAGCAAGCCAGACATGGTGGCACATGCCTGTAATCCCAGCACTCGGGAGGCTGAGGTAGAAGGATCACTGCAAGTTTGAGGCCAGCCTGGGCTACAAAGTGAGTTCAAGGCCAGCCTGAACTGCAGAGCAAGACCTTGTCTCAAAAAAAATGAATAAATAAACAAATAAATAAAAATAAATTCTATTTTTTAAAAAGAGAAAGCAGTAGCTAAAAGTCTTTGTCTTTTCATACCACCCTCAACAATCCCTGTGGTCCTCAGTATAAATTATTTTCTGCTATATTAGAGGGAAGCTCACAGACTGCAGAGGTACAGTGGCAGTTAGTGTAGCTCATGTGAAGATTCTGTGCATAGCTCCCTAGAGTTAGGTTAAGGAGGCAGGCCGGGCTCCCACCCAGCTGGCCCCTGGCTCTTCTATGAGCTCTCAGCTCTCTTAGACTTCTTGTGTTCTTTAGGGACACCTTTCAGGTGACTCAGCCTCTGAGCTCCCCTATATAGATATTCCCTATATATAGAATATATATAACTATAATGTATATTATATATAATTATATATAGACTCCCCTATGTATAGAATATATAGATATTCCCTCCTCTAGCCCTTTTCCCTGGTAACTCAGGATTTCATCCTATTCTACTGGTCTCTAAATATCTGAATGCTCTGAGGTCCAATATTGCATCTCATACTAACAGAATAAATCAGACTACTAAGCATTTCAATGAAATGCATCCATCAAAGATGAAAAGCAAGTACTTAGGGAATGGTGGCATACCAGGTGACAAAATGCACAGGTTAATCCATGTGCCTACCAACTGGGCGCCTTGTGCCCACCCAAGAATGTCATCATGACATCTGGAATGCCCCCGCACACAGTTGTACCAGCAAGGTACAATGATTGCCTGCTTTGTGGAGATATCATTGTGGTGAACATTTCCAGGCATGCTCTCACGTTTGTCCAGGGCTTCTTAACCTTGACACCACTAACTTTCTGGGCAATGTAGTTTGGTATTGTGAAAGATGCTAACATGCATTATAGGATGTTTAGCAGCACCCCTGGCTACTAGCCTACTAGATACCAGTCATACCTCTCATTGGGACAACAGTACCTCTAGACATTGCAGATATCTTGAAATTCGTCCCCTTGGAGAACCACTGGTTTGGTCTAAAGCTGTTTTGTGTCTGCTTGATGTTATGTAATGATATATTTTTATTTCATATTCAAAAGGTAAAATAATATTTTAAAAGTTAAATTTTTGCAAAAGCAATAAAAATGAAATATTTTGCATCCAAAGTAGCAAAAAGGTAAGCATTTGATACAAGTTACATATTCAGTCAAAGAAATATCAGTTTGAGGACAGGTCCAGAGTTGACTGCATTTTAAGGAATAAATTTGTATAAGCTGCTCTTTAAAGCTTAAGGCAAAGGGTGCTAACAAATTCAATTATAGATTAATAATTTCAGATATTTAGATTGCACTTCAAAGTAAATTTGCACATTGTTTAAATCCAAATTTTTATCATCTTCATTAAAATGTGAGAAATGTGTGGAAAGCAGTTTTTATTGTGAAACTCAAAAGCTTTGCAAGAAAAACTGGGGATAACTGTATTTTATTAAGTTATTTTGAATAGCTGTTGAAAATTTTCCCAAATTGAGTTTCCTTGTAGACAAGATTAAGACTGGAATGACTATATCTGGCTCCCTCTTAAAAATAAAGCAGAATAAAACTTTTTACTTGGACGTTTTAGATGTAAAAGTTTTTTATTTAATCATGGAAGGAAGTCTTGTGCATCTGTCATCCAGTTTCTTCTCTCACTACCATCTCAGTGTCAACTTTGCCCCCTCCCTGCACCCCCATCCCACCTCCACGACCTCTGTATTGCCTTGAACCAAATCAATTTAGTGCCTTCTTGACAAAGTCTGCTAGTCTTTCTCTGCGTGAGTCCATTTTCCATGACTGTAACAAAATACCCGAGACCACAGTTTCAGAGGCTGAAAGTTCAAACAGGCAGCATGGCACCAGCTCTGATGAGGCCCCCTGGCTGTGTCATACCATGGCCGACAGCACAAAGGCGAGAAGAAGAGCGGTCACGTAGGAAGACAGGGCATTGCTCTTTTATGACAACCCTCTGGTTAAAACTAACCTCTGTTCTTCCCCACGGGCATCACTCCTAATCCCCTAATTATTTCCCATCATGCTCCATCTCTTAAAGGTCCCACACCACCTTCCAGCCCTGCCCTCCACACTCCCAGCATATGAACCACCGGGCCCCAATCATGGCCAAGCAACAGCACTACTCCATATGGGAAAGACAGGTACATGCTTGAATGTTACGAATAATGTCAGCCCAGTCCCTCTTTGTGGTGGCTGTGCTGATGTGTCCAGATGTGGCCAACTTCCTTTTATTAATCAGCCTATATCCCTAAACATTTACCCTAGAAATCTCAAGCTGGACCTCTGAATGAAGAAACAAAATATTTCTAGCCCAGAATGTGTGCATGAATGCATACTTGATCCTGCACCACATTTTAAAAGGTAGTATTTTTCTTCTCAGCATAGGAGACTTAGGATATTGTGAAATATGATGCTGTGATTTGTTTATGGGGAGTGAAATGTCTGTAACTATTAGTCCTCTGCACAGCAAGTGTTACTTTTTTTTTTTTTTATCAGTTTTCTTGGATTTGATGAAGAAAGGGAAGGTCCCAGAATGGAAGAAAAGACTGGTAGACTCTAGTTATCTTCCACAATTCACTGATTCTCATCTTCATTCATTCATCCTCATATGCTCTCTCCTCCAGCTCCTTCCCACTTCTCCCTCTTTTTTTTCATCCTCCCTCTCTGTGGGTTTAGCCCAGCACATGGCCCCTGCCTAGACAGCCAGACACTGCATTTAACAGCTGCCTAGGTTTGGCAGTGTGACTTAAATTCTTGGTGATGGAATGTAAGCAGATGTGATCTGTCTAATTTAGTTAAAAGAAAATTGCAGTTCACTTCCTCTCCAGTGAGGAAATGGGACCATGAATGTGGCTTTGGATCCAGACAGTGAAGAGCTTTGGAGAAAATGGTAGAGCTGACCCACCAGCCGGGTCCCTAGATGACCTCCAGAAGCTGTCAGTCTCAACCAGGAAGAAACAAGCAAGTCAGTCTCGCTTTGGACCTCCTTGTTAAAGCGCTTCCACCTTTACCATAATCAGTAAAAGAAATAATTCTTACAAAAGTTTATCATTTTGTTAATTTTCTGCTCCATTTTTGTTTTTGTTTTGTTTTAATGTCTTTGTCATCTTTTCTACTGTCTGCTCTACAGAGGGCAAGATCAACCTACCACCAATTCAAAATTGGTTTAGATGTTGGGACTGACAACAGGACAGACTTCAGGAGGGTATGTTAGGGTTTAATGGGATTTTCTGGTGCTATCCAAGCAGAAAAGTTAGCCCAGATGGCAGTACCAAGAATCAAACTCAGGACTTAGCGCTTTCCAGGGAGGCGCTTGTGCACTTGTGCTTTATTCCCCCTGCTGCCCTGTTAGCGGTAGCAAGGTCATGAGATTGGTTTTAGCTTATGTTGTGGTCCCTGCTGGGGTCGGCTCGCTCAGGTGCAGGTTCAGGGAAGAGGGGAGGAGAGCTGTCAGTATTCAAATGTCAGAAAGGGGTTTCCTCCTTACAACAGTCCTGAAACAATATCAAAGCAAGAACCTGGTAACCAAACAGGTAGAATCCTCAGGACCAGTTACACTTTTGTGATGTGATCGAAATAGAGTGAATGCTTAAATTTTAATAAATGATTACAGTAGAAGACACATTGCCATTAATCCCTCTGAAAATATTCCCCTTTGCTTTGAGCACACTTGCCCCATCATTGTTGCCATTTTCCCAAGCAGTCCTGAAGTCCTCTTTCTTAAGTGTCTTTACAAGGTGTTATCAAAAACAGGGTGGCAGAGGGCTGGGGATTTAGCCTGCCTGGCAAGCACAAGGTCGTGTGTTCGGTTCCCGGTACCGGAGAAAAACCAAAAAAAAAAAAAAAAACAGGGTGGCTACCACTACCAAGTGCCATCCGCCATAAAGGCAAGCTTGTAAAAAACATTACAGTGCATCCTCCTTAATCTTATTCACTGGATCTGGCACCATGCAACTTCTGGCTCTTCCCCAAAGTCAAAATGATCATGAAAGGTAAATGTTTTGAATTCATTCAGGACATTGAGACAGCTATAAGCGTACAACTAAAGATACAAAGGAGGACTTCCAGAACTGCTTCAGAAAATGGCAAGAGTGAGGGATAAGTGTATTCTAAGTAAAGCAGAGTATTTTGAGAGAGATTAATGGCATTTGAAAAAAATAAACAATCACTGTATTCTTTCTATCACACCTTGTTCTTACAGATTTTGGTCAAGGCAGCATTCATATTCCCGACACCAAGGAAAGGAGAGTAACTAACTTCATGTCCAAACTCTGAAAGGTGTCTCTTACATGGGTTAAGAAAAGTCACTGAGGCCCATTACAACTATGAATTTCCTATTTAAATGAATCTTAGCTTTGCTAAAAAGTGTTAAAAAGGAAAAGAAAAAGGAATAAACTTTGAATGACAAACTTTCAGGGAATAATAGTGAAAGTGAAGTAATATGCCATTAACAGGAGACTAATTATGGCTTTGTATAATTGTGTTCCTTTCAATAGAGACAGGTTATTAAATATAAAACTAAAGGTATTTAACTCTAATATCTTTATAAAACTTATAAAGTAACCTACAAATGTTTTTTAAAAAGTCCTTTGTCAGACCACATGTCACCATACTCATAAAGAATTAGAATAATTATGCAAATCCAATTCTAGAAATAGCTCTGAGTATCCCATAATTCCTCAAGATAGATATGCAAATTAAACTGATCGTGACTGTGAATATAAAATATTACGCACTGTACGCTTACACTCTCTGTGTTACCGCAGCATGAGTACCTGTGAGGGATTCATTTCTTTCTCTTTATGCCTAACATGTTGCCAGGCACATGACTCAATATTCACAGAATACATGGGAAATAAAAGGGGGCAAATGCATATGGCCATGAAAAAGACAAGGAAATTTTTGTCGTATTGCACATTTTAAATTTACTGATTGCTATAGAATTTTTTAATGAGAATTTTAGGTTGGCACTGAAACCTAAATAATTTTAAAGGCCCTTTCAAATTACAACACATCTGTATCTTTCAGAAAATAAAACCACTTACTGTTCTTTCCAAGGTCTAACCAAGAAACAGTGTGTGCCTCTCAGATATCATTTCTTGGCAGAAAAAAAAAAAAAGATTTTCATACTAGGAAGCAACCACACACACTAGCATAATCCAGGTAATATAGATGTCCTAGGAAGATGTTAAAATACACACTTTTACAACAGTTTACACGTTCTCCACCTGTCATAGGCTGGCTACTAAAAACTTAAAATTTAAATGACTAAATTATTCCTCTTAGAAGCCAAATTGTAATAGCTTTAATTTACCTGTCTCCTTAATGTTACTGCGAAATAAGATTGTTGCATGTATGCCTTGCCATTTCAACTTAAAGGTTTTTGCATTTCTGTGTGATTCATAAGCTTTAGGCTTTCAGATATATATTTCAGGCTGTTTACTTACCAGGATACAGGCTTGGTTGGGTACCTACTAAACCTCCCTTCCTTCTGCCTCCTTTTCTTTAAACAAAAGCACAGAATGCCTTTTTCTGGTGGCATGGATCTGCCATCCCCCTGTTCTTTGGGAGGTGGGTGAAGTGGTCCTTTTGAGAGTTACCTGTTTGGTTTCTGCTCATTTCTGACAGTACCAATCAGGAGTCTTTAAGTGCTCTCCTCACAGCAAGATTTTATGTAACAAATTCCCTCCGTTAAAATGATCACATTCCTTACTGGCACTAGAACATTTGGATAGAATTGGGACAGAGCACTTTGAAGAGAGAAGCATGTAGTCTTATTTCACTTAGAGAAATGTATTTTTAAAACCAATTCCAGAGTGGGTAGAAACTAGAGGAGTCAGAAAAAAATGAAGAACTCAGGAGGAGGAAAAGATGGAGCTGGGACAATTTTGGTTCCAGTCCTCTGGTTTTCCCTTTTCCCCTCAATTGGGTAACCAGAGATAGAATGTCCAAGGCTCTTTCCAGACAGCTCATTATGATGTCTGATCTTGTTATCCTACGTGCTCCATCTACACCCCCTCCTGACATCTGCTTTGCTCTGCCTTGCTTTATGGTTCTGGGTGCTTTTTTTTGCCAAGTTCCCCCAATTAGCTGGCTGACATGTTAGCAAGAAAACCACACCTCATTCTCCATGTCCTTCCACGCTGCCCAGCACAAGTGCTTTTTGTGGGATCCATTGGTCAGACGGATCCATTCAGGTAATTTTCCAAGGTCCTATAATCAGATTTCTGACATCAAAAAGTTTAATTATACACTGATTGAAAAGGTATTATAAAGTACAGTTTCCATAAAACTGCCTACAAATCAATGATAAGTAGTGTCAAATCTAGTTCATTATTTTTCTAGAGTCAGGATAATTAGCAGCAGGCAGAACAATCTGGAAAATGTGAATGAAGTGTTTAACTTACTTACATTTGTGAACACAGCTCCAGGATGACAAGTGTACTGATCAAAGGGAAGAGGGAGGGAATAAGGCAGGCTTAAATGGGGTTGTAACTGCTTGTCCCTTGGAATACCAGGCTTCCTTGATGTTAGTGGTAGAAACAATAGTAGTATTTAATTCAAAACCAACAGCCTAGAGATGTGAGGTGGGCTCGCTGGTTAGAGATCCAAAATACTGAAACAGGTGTCTCAACTTTTTCTGTTCTCTTCTCTTCACTGTATTGACAGCGTTGGTCTCAGTGGTTTTAAGATAGCTGCTGTATCACATCTTCACTCAAGAACTTCTCATAAGGAACAAAGAAGGAGGGGAAGAGCGCTCCTTATGGACCGAGTTAGATCCCAAAAGTTTTGTCCCTATTGATAAAAAAGCAGAAAGAACCCTTGAGACTCAGAGCAAGGTTTTTGTTTTGTTTTTGTACTTCTCCTTACTCCCACAGTCAAAGGGTGCCGGTACGGGGTAGGACGCAAGCCCACACAGTGAAATGTCTGCCAAGTGAAGGGAGTAGAATATTTATGATATTTATTTATTTAGCAATTGTGAGGACTGAGCATCAGGCCTTCACACTGAGCTACATCCTTGTCTCCCCTCCTTTTTAAATTCTGACACAAGGTCTTGCTAAATCCCTAAGTTGCCTAGGCTGAGTTCTGAATTGCAATCCGCCTGCCTCAGCCTCCCACTGCTGGGGTCATAGGTATACACTACATCACCCTGCTGTCAGCCTCATTGTATTAACCCCAGACACCTCCAAGCACACGACTTAAAATGCTGGTAAGGCACTCGGCCACTCATGGCGCTCAGATGTAATGACTGAGTCAGAAGGCTTGAAACTCTTACAGGACCAGCACTGGTATAACCCATCCCCCTCTCTGTAGAGGAGGCGCCCCCCTCTTTATGGCCAGTTCCCTTTTTGTGCCAGAGTTTAACGTGCAGTTGGGGGAGGGGGCATCAACAACTTTAGACATAAGAAACGATATATGCAAAAAAAAGCATGTTGGTGTGGCACAGGGCGGTCTCTTCAGCTCACTGCCAGCAGCTGAAGTATAGGTTCCGAGAGACAGCAGGAAAAAATACCCTGGCATGGTGGTAGAGGCCTGTGATTCCAGCACTCTGGGAGAATCATGAGATCGAGCCCAGGTCGGGCAATTTAGTGACTTAGCAAGCCCCTGTCTCACAATACAAAACAAGAAGGGCCTGGGATGTAGCTCAGTGGAGAAGCCCTGGGTTCAAGCCCTGGTACCACCACCACCACAAAACAAAAGCAAAGACAAAAACAAAGAGCCAACAAGAAATAAAGAGGGAGGGAGGGCAAAGGGTAGAAGCGGAAAGGAAGAAAAGGAAAGGGAACAATAGAAGTCAATATGATAAACCTAAGAAGATTGGGCAAGCTAAATAATAGAGATTGCTTATCATTATCACTATGGGTTTGCAATATGCATCTCCTCTTTGCTTGCAGTAGTTTTAAAAACTGAACATGCCAGGTTAAAGTTGAATAAGAGTCAATCTTTCTGCAAAACTATTTGATGTAAGATATATCCAAAGACCTAAAAATGGTCATTTTGAACCCAATAGTCCCATGCTAGGACACAGAGATGAAGATTTATGCACAAATATAGTGACAACTAGTTTATCTTATGCAGGGTGGGGGGATGTGCCGGATGAACGTCCCAAATAAGTAAGCAAGGCATGTCAGTGGAAGTGTTCCCCAAGTACACTGCACCTGACCTGGTACAATGACCAGAGTATTCAAGACAGAACTACCCTTTCCTTGATTTCCAGTGAACATAATTAACAAAGTCCATGTTAACAGAATCATCGATCCAAAACCCTGACCCTAACCCTTTTCCCTTCTATACCGCATTCTCCCAAATAGCTTGTTTCTTTGCCTCACTTGGTTCTTTTTTCCTTACAGTCAGCTGTTATTTCTTGCCACTCTCACTGGAGTTCCTGCCTTCTTACACTCAGTCAGGATTTTTTTTATATAAAATAAAAACTGAGATTTTGTTGTACATTCTACCTAAAAATTATGTCTGAATAAAAGCCTGGAAGTTTTACTCCAGCAGTCTGAGTAACACGCTGGATTCCCCCGTAAGCACATTCTACTAAGACTGTCTGTACTGACCTGGTGCCCTAATATCCACCTATAATCCCAGCTACTCAGGAAGCTGAGGCAGGAGGATCACAACTTGAAGGCAGCCTGAACAACTTGGCAAGATGCTGCATTGGAAACAAAAAGGGGTGCCAGTGTACCTCAGTGATAAAAGCACCCCTGGATTCAATCCTCAGTATTATTAAAAAAAAAAAAAAAAAAAAAAAGACCTCTGGATAGGGCAAGCATTTAACCAATTCCTATAAATTACAAAACTCAAGAATTTCTGGTTTCTGAATTATTCTCTGAAAACTGTACAGCAACACAAGGCCATCTAGGCTCAACAAACTGCTTCGAGGGCAGCAGAGCTGCTACCTAACGCCAGAGTGACTCAGAGGTTTTCCATGATGCGTTGGTTCCTTTGCCACACCTCGTGCTAAATATTCTAACATTTGGATTTGGTGACTTGTGTTTTCAACACACATCACTTGGCCTGGTGGAGGGTTAGATGATTTTCTTCCGGGGCTGCCCTGTTTGGGTTGGTTGAGGTGTCTGATGAGTGGGTCTGGATGTTAGAGTCTACATGGACTTATGACAAAGGAAGATAAGAAGGTAACTTCATACATTTTCCAGATAAAAGACTGTCTGACCGACTGATTAACTTTCACAAACAATAACACAATGCTGCCCATTTATTAGAAATAAATTGCTCCCTTTATTACTTATCACTCTTGGGTGTTTTAATAGCCTATACTATATGCACAATAAATTTATGAAATGCATCCATTTTCAACTGTTTTACCAGAATGATTACTTTGCTCATGTTTTATATGGCAGCAGTGTTTGTTTTGCTTTGCTTTGTTTTCCGGTGCCAGGCATGGAACCAGGGCCTCCAGCATGGGAGGGAAGTAAGTGCTCTACAACCGAGCTTCAGCCTCAGTCCATGTTTACTGTTCCTTAACAAAAAGTTTTAAAGCATTTTATATTTACTGTTTCTTCCCTTTAGAGAAGATGTGCAGATTGTTAGCTTGCACTTCAAAGCTAAAAAGACTCCAAATGTGTTAGAAATGCTGATTCCAAACTATAAAACCACCCAAAGCATGCACTGAAAGGGAAGCAACAGCCCATTGTAACATGCTCAGACACACACAGTCCCAGGCCCCGGCTCAAACAACAAAACCACCACTCCAGAATGAAAATACTGGTATATTTGTGTAATGCAAAGAGAAATCGAGATATAAACCCTCAAAACGGAAGGTACATTAATAAAAATGTAGCATCTTAAGCAAAAAATATTATACAGTACTTGCAGAATGTAGTCTTCCAGTTTCAAATTACAACGTCTAACAAATAATATTTAAAATTATAGCTGTTATATTAATTTAAAACAACCATCAGTAGTACAGCACAGCTTAACCTAGCAAACACTGTAAAGAAATGCTTTGTCTCCTAGAAGTAGGTTATCATTATACACCATTCATTTATACCGTGAACAACAGAACAGTCTTCAAAGTGGAAGTTACGTTCATAAAACAGAATAAAACGGGGCTTCTCAAAGCACAAGCCGTTTCCATAAAAGTATTTTACCTTTCACTGGCAGAAAAATACCGAAACACTTTGATGGAGTACTCAGAGCCCTCCCGATCCTTGAGAACAGTCAGTACATACAAACACATGCAATACTGTATTTCTCCACACCATCACTAACCAAAACACTTTTTGTACTCTTTTAAGTTATAATTTTACAGAAATGTTTCCATTCGAGATATGATACAGAGAGCAGCGGCTGCAGATGCGCCAATGCACACATTCTTAGCATAAACTAGGAACCAAATCTTGTTACTTACTGCTGAAAAGAATGATTGCCTTCCTACCGACTCCCACGTGTGCACTTTAATATCAACACGGAACCAAATCCTCAACATTCCCAAAGAACCAGTGCAACACAGCTGGCCCCGCAGCTGGCAGTTCAGAGGGAACCTAAAACACCCTGCCCCTTTGTCCCGCTCCAGCAGAAGACCCTCAAAGAAGTATAAGTTTCCTCTACTCCATCGCAGCATGTAATGCCACTTGAGCTCGTCAAAAATAGCTTCTATAGAAAACTGGCCGTGGTCTTTAGGAAACTGCATGAAGAAATTTAGCCTTTATTAAAAAAAAAAAAAATCACACATGGAAGAAAAGAATTGAGTACCAGTACAAAAAGACTGCAGGGCCTATAGTCCAGAAGGAAGGATGTTGTGGAGGACGATGGACCGAGCTGGAACACTGAACCCCCCCGCGCCCCCCAAACGGGAGTCTGTGCAATCCAAGTGTTGTGTCCACTTCGAGAGTCATTTGAAGGCAGCTTCGAAAATTGAAAAGGGGGCAGAAGCGAGGTCACTGTCCGAGCCAGCGGGGAAAGGCTGGGAGGCGGAGGAGTCCTCCTTCACAAGCCGATGCCTTTCAAGTCGCAGGGGAGGGCGGCCGGCGTGGTCTGGGGGCTCTGCCTGCAGGGGAACTGCGCCCTGAAGCAGTCCCTCAGCTCCCTGTTGAAGAGGAAGCACACGACGGGGTTGATGCCGGCCTGCGCGAAGGTCAGCCACACCGAGGCCGTCAGGTAGGCCTGGGAGACGGCGCCGGGCCGCACCAAGACCCGCAGGTAGCTGGCCACGACGTAGGGCCCCCAGAGCAGCAGGAAGAGCAGCGTGACGGCGTAGAACATCTTGCACAGCCTCTTCTCCGTCTTGAACTCCTCGAGCACGAGGAGGCGGCGCGCGCCGCGGCCCGGGCCCGCGGGTCGGATGCC